AGACGTCTTATTCATGTCTTTGTATGATAACTTCTAAAAAACTGTGTTTTATTTATTTAATTCTTATTATTGTAATTTTTTGAATATTTTTAAATATTTATACCATATAATACCATAGATACCATAATAAACTAAACGAATATCATAGGATGAAGTTGGTTGCCTATTGCCAGGACGGGAGTATCTTAGAGACTTGATTTTTTTTAAAAAAGAAGGTAAGTAAAATTAAAAAAATCAATAGTTTTCTGTTTGAAAAACAACCAAAAAAATTGTTAGAATTTAATCTACACAATATAAAAATTATGCTTTATTTGATTGAAATATAGTACACATTTAAAAAATTCTAGAGCTTTATTTATTTATTTTTCAATTTTGTATGAAAATATATGTATATATATATTTTTTTCAAATTATACAAAAAAGCCAGCAGTAACTTTTTAGCACAGTTTTTGATTAGGAATATATTCAATCTAACACACCCATAACACAAATTCAGAAAAATTGCCATCATTCAAAATTTTATAATAGAAATTTTCTAATGATTAAAAACAAAGTTTAATTTGTGATTTAGTGAATTTAAAAGAGTTTCAAGCATATAAATAAATTTTTTAGACGAAAGTAAAAAAAGAGTATCAAATTTATCCAAACAAGTTAATTTATTAAGTTTCGGCAATTACCGAAATTTCTACATTAAATTAAAATAAATAAAAATACTTCTTAAAATGCACACTTTGAATTTTGATTTTTAATTTGGTTTCCAAATATTTTTAGTGTTCACTATTTCAAGGAATTATCAAAAATTTTAATGCATTTAAACAAAAATTTAAGGCATACTAAGTTCAAAATCTTACAATATGTTTCAACATTTTTTTAAAAAATAAAATAAAAGGTTACCGTCATTCGGGGCTACTTTGTGCAGGATTTCGCAGTTTTTGAACTTTGACATGTAAAAAAACTATGTTAATTCAAACTTTAGTAAGATTTATCAATATTATATTCATAACTGGACTCAGACGAGTGAATTTGATCAATATTGGCATTATTTGTATGTAATATTTACGAATAATAAGTCAAAACATACCTTGCACAAAGTAGCTCCCAAATGGGGCTACTTTGTGCAGCGATAGGAATTCAGTTTGTTTAATAATCGTGTTTTTAGTAAAATATTGATATAAAATTGTTGAAAAAGTTAATTGTTGACATTTTTAAAGACAAAAACATCAAGATATGTAAAGATAAAAGTTTTAAAACAATTTTCAGCATTAAAAAACCATTTTTTTTGAAGAATTTTTTCTTAAAAGGAATGTTTATTTCAAAACATTTGAGTTTAAACAAAAGGAAACCATATACATTTTTAAGCATTGAAATGGATGAAATTTTAAAAATAATAATTATTACATATTCATTAACATTTATAATATTGTTAAATTTGAACATAACATCCTTGAATGAACACGACAGAACTTGCTCTTCAGTTTCTGTCAAAATCACCTGATGTCCCATGAAATATATTTTTATGTGTTAAATCGTTAGATTAATTCATTAGAAAAATCTTTGTAGAAGATAAATAATAGTTAACCAGGAAGTTTCATGTGTTTCTTGTGAATTTTATTAGAGATAGTATTTCTGTGGATTTGGCACTTCCGAGAAGCTTCTGCAATCGACATACTACCAGCAACTGCTTGCAAACATTGTTGCAGCTTTTCTAAAGTATAATAACGGTAGTTTATCGTTCCAGGTATTTTTTTATAATGCCTGACCATTTTTCTGTCGAAAAAAAAAACGAATGAAACTTTGCACAAAGTAGCCCCAAAGTGCATTTTATTTCATTTTCCGTTTATTTGTTATTAATTTTCAAAATTTTTTAACACTAACATGATATAATTTTTTATTAATATATAAATAAAAAATTTTGCTTTTACGACAATTGTTTTATCAACGTCTTTGCATTTCACAGCTAAAGTTTCCACGCACACTTTTCGACATCCGATGTCCTCGGAAAGTTGTTGACATTTTATAGACAAAACACACTTTGAGATTGTTTTAAAATTCGAAAAAATGTTTGTAGTATTAGAAGAGACTTCTATCTTCAAATTCCACACATTTTTAACGTGAAATAAACATAATACTGAATAGCAGCACTTGAAAAATGCCAAATTCGAATTTGCACAAAGTAGCCCCCGCTGCACAAAGTGAATGACGGTAATTTAAATTTTTGATTTTCTCAAAATATACATTAAAATCGCTATGTTTTATAATTTTTCTTCGTTACTATCACTTAAAGTACGTGATTGCACTTTTACTCATTACTTTTTCAAAGCAACATTCACGCGTATCTAACTAATTGATAAAAATAAATCCAAAAACTGTATGTTTTGTTGTGAGTGACTTTATAAAATATATAAATTAGATCCATTAATAATGATAATAAATAAAATTAGTATCCGTATTAGTAATTATTAAACTGTATTAGTAATTAGTAAACTGTAAAATTAGATCCATTAATAATGATAACTAAGTCCAAATTCTCAAATTAAGATACATATAATTAGATATTTTGCAAGTCAGATGATAAACTTCCTTTAACTGTGTTAAGATTTGAATATAGTAAACAATTGCAAAAACAAAACGTAATATCGCGTTTGAACGTTAACTTGCATAAATAATGATTTTGCGCTTAAGATACAAATATTTATCGCTTCTTCTTTAACATCTGCATTTCTCTAGAGGAACAATTTATTTACCGAATGTATATAGATGTCGACGCAGGCTTTACTCTTTTTCTTAATAATGTATATTTGTGAGATTTGCAAAAGCATGAAATAAAACCTTTATATTGAGTTCATATTTGCTTTAGAATATTTATGAATTATCATAATTTTCGTTCATAGAGAATACAAACTACAATATAATGAAAAGTAATGAATTATTTTGAGAAATTTAACAGGAAATTAACTATTGAGAGCAAGTCAATAATACACCATATATCTACATTTAGTTTTTACTTAATGAATGGACTAAGAAGGAAGCACAATCACAAAAGAAGGAGGGTGCATATATATACATACAAAGAAGAAGAATAAAACAAAATAAAATAAAATAAAACTTTTAATGAGAAAACCTAAAGGTCTTCATCAGGACACATCTTTTGCGATAAATGTGATGTTTCAGAGTAAAGAATGATTATCCTAAGATAAAAATTACTCCTTATTATATGTTAATCACTAAAAAATAAAAATGCAGTTGCATATATATATATANATATATATATATATATATATTTATTCTATCAATTTCTATTCAGTTAGTTTTCTTCTTCCTTTCTTTTTTGTTACTGGAACAGTCAGGGATTTGGATTATTACTATTTTAATTACAGTACAAAACTTAAAGCTGTTTAACTTAGAATCTGTATTTTACCTCGGCTTTTATTAGTTCAGTTTTAATTGATCACAATTGAATAATTACATTTCTTTTCTTCTACATCTTTAAATATAAAAAACTTTTATCTCAAAATTGTGAGTAAATGAAAAATATTTCAAACTAATTTTTAACTAGGATGAAATAAAACAGTTATAAAATGTAATGAAACACAATTGTAACAAATATGTAAACGTAAATATGTAAGTGCAATAAAGATGGAATTAAAATTTCCGAAACTAGGTTTGATTCACACCTATCTGAAATGCCTTCCTTTACGGATAATCTCCTTTTGGAATGTTATTAGGATTGTAATGACACTTTAAATGCAACTGACTTCTCAAATAACGCTTATATTTCTGATGAAGGTTTTTTTACTCCTATTATATATTAATAGATATTAATTAGTTAATAGATTTTCTGACTGCATTTTTAATAAGAATTTTGAAAACAAATAGTCGGAAAGCTCTTTATTTCCACAATGATATAAAATGCAATAACTCGAAATGATTTTTTAAAGAAGATAGATACAGATCAAGAGGCGTGTTTAAGATAATAAACACAGGAGGCGTCTTTGTAGAGTTGAATTCAAATTTAACGAGACATTTCGTACTTATTTTCCTTACTTTTTTAAATACTTAGCATGATCATAGCGTGTCATAGTCCTGAATTTTTGGGTTGTTCTGGCGAAGAATATTACACACATAAATTTTAAGCTGATCTCTTCGTATTCAGATTACTAAACAATAAAGTGTTTTTTTTTAATCCAAATTCGTACAACTTCAATTGAATACCACTATTATAAATTTTAGTACACTGTTAGAACTTTCACTCTAAAATGATGGTAAAATAACCGGCGGAAGTCTGTCCATCCTATTAACCGTAAAATTTACGGTGAAGAACGTTTTTTACCTTAAAGTGTTTGAAACCGTTTACAACTAGTGTGGTTGAAAAATCATGAATACAAAACTAAGTAGTGTTTAAACTATTTATAACTAGCATGGTTTCAAAATCAGAAAAATAATTTTAACTGAACTTTGAGGCATTAGGTAATAGGCATTGGAGTTAGGTTGTGGGTGAGAATTTAGAAGAAATATTATGGTGTTAAAGCTGGGGCTCAAGCTCCTACTCTGTAGATCATGAGACAGACGGATTAGCTCTTTAAACAACAATATGTACCCAGCTGCTTCATTAGGTGGACCTAGTTGGTGCAGTAAAATTCTGGTTGTTGAACCGTATAAGGTGAAAGCAGTTAATAAACGGTTTTTCTCGCAGTTAACAGATTGAATACCATTTTATTTATGGTTATTTGATTGTTTTGTTTGAATAGGGTAAAATATCAATTAAATAAATTGTTATTTACCTATTTTTCCCAGAAATTTCTAACAGTTTATCTGTGACAACCTTGTAAAAACAACTAATAATTTTTAAAAAATGCGGAATAAATTGCATTAAGAATTTATTTGTATTCATTAGTTTATTCTTTCTGAAAAGAACAATTTTTACGAGAAAATGCTATGTACATTTTCTGTGCCCACAATTAGAATCTTCCCAACGACATACATTTAATATTTCTACGTACCAGTCACAGTTATCTTTCCAGCGCTGATGCTCACCACCATTTCACCCGTCAGTCGGTGTCTTGTCTGGCATCGATAACTCCATTCTGCGTCTTTCTCTTGCGTCTCGTGGATTAGAAGCTCACCAGAAAACAAAACAGTGTGGGATCGAACTGTAAATTAAAGGGAAAAAAATTTAAACTATGAAAACCTTGAAGTAGAGAAAATGCCGTCGAGCAAAAAATTTTTTTTTAAGAAAAAAAGCAGTTTTTAAAAGCAAAGCAAAGATCTGAAATTCAAGTTCTGACACCAATTAATGTAATTCGTGACAAAATTATTTTGTCTATTGGCAGGAATTAAAGTGACTTATAGTAAAATGCTTCATTTTGTACCTGAGAAATATTTCCTTTTCTGATCGACGGGCCATTGTGGACTTTCACGCTGTTAATTGAGAATGTAACAAGCATTTCTTAAAAGAATTTTCAGATGTTTCAAAATTTTAATAAGAATAAAGTACTAACTATGCTATTACCTAAAAACGCAAATTTGAAAGCAAACGATGGGTACAATAAATTAAGTTTTAATACACGAGAAAATAAGAAATTGCACTCGAAGTTTTAAAAAAAAAAATAGATTACAGTAAGTCACATTTTACTGTGTAAAAAGAGTCTTTTCTGAAAAAACGTAACAAAAAAAGCTATGTAATTTATGTAGTTCATATATATATATATATATATATATATATATATGTGTGTGGGGGGGGGCGGGGTGATTCTCACGAAATAGGAGAGTTCACTGTCCCTTGCTCCAAGATCTAATACTATAATACTAAAAGAAC